GAAGCCTCGCTGTGCGGCGCAGCCAAGGGTGCCCTCAACCGGCCGCCATGTTTTAGTTTCAATTCCTCACAGCGAATCGGCGATCGCGAAGAGGGAGTTTCGCTTCTATCAGTGTAGAATTCTGTGGTTTGATCACAGACTACTCACACTATCTGAGTAAAGTTTGAGAACAAACAGTAGATTACTTCTCAAACCTAACCCTTTCTTAGAAAAAAAATTTCACCAAAAAAACAACAACAAAAAAACAAACGAACAAACATGAGTTTCTTCATAAGTCATGTTTCATAAGTCTTGTCACTAACATTTGACTGCGCTGGGAATTGTCTACAGCAAAATGTTTTATCACATTCTTGTCAAATATTCCAAGGAAATCTGTTTCCCAAAGAAAAATCTAGGTAGAGGCGAATTCGAGAGTAGGAAAGTCCCGTTAACAAAAATAGAAAAAGATTGATGATAAACTCTGGCGACTTTTGTGGAGTGTAACATGACGTCAGTGTGGTCAGATAACTACCGCACCTTGTAACATGACATCAGTGTGGTCAGATAACTACCGCACCTTGTAACATGACATCAGTGTGGTCAGATAACTACCGCACCTTGTAACATGACGTCAGTGCGGTCAGATAACTACCGCACCTTGTAACATGACATCATTGTAGTCAGATAACTACCGCACCTTGTAACATGACGTCAGTGCGGTCAGATAACTACCGCACCTTGTAACATGACGTCAGTGTGGTCAGATAACTACCGCACCTTGTAACATGACATCAGTGTGGTCAGATAACTACCGCACCTTGTAACATGACATCAGTGTGGTCAGATAACTACCGCACCTTGCTTGTAACATGACATCAGTGTGGTCAGATAACTACCGCACCTTGCTTGTAACATGACATCAGTGTGGTCAGATAACTACCGCACCTTGCTTGTAACATGACATCAGTGTGGTCAGATAACTACCGCACCTTGTAACATGACGTCAGTGTGGTCAGATAACTACCGCACCTTGTAACATGACATCAGTGGTGTCAGATAACTACCGCACCTTGTAACGTGACATCAGTGGTGTCAGATAACTACCGCACCTTGTAACATGACATCAGTGGTGTCAGATAACTACCGCACCTTGTAACATGACAACAGTGGTGTCAGATAACTACCGCACCTTGCTTACTTCCCACAAGTCCTACTCTCCTCTCTTCTACCAAGGCCGCTGCCAACATAAAGGACGACAATGGTAGGATCCACTCACTTTTCATTCAGAAAATCCTTATTTCAGAAGTTAACCAAAAATATTACATGTCAAAAAGGTGTTTAGTTTCAGACAAATAAAGGCTCTTTTAAAAACAACAACCCAACAACAGATGATCATTGCCTCTCAACATTACCACAGACTTTCTTTCTGCCTGCCTACTTCGTTGGCAACTTGCATCTCCGTTATCATGTCCAAGTTTTTCTTCTTCCACATCTTACTTTCATCAACATTCAGCATCACCGCATCCCTGCACTAGACATTCAGCATCCCCACACTCACCTGGACTTCCCCTTTCCGTACTCCAAAACACTGAACAACTCCATCACTGTCGCCAACAGCAATCTGAAAGAACAAACAAAAACTGAATCTCCAGATATGCCAAGAACCGCCCCCCCCCCCCCAAAAAAAAACAACAACCCCTCATTAATCACTCATTTCAAAACAGTTACAAAAATACAAAGGGAGCAACAACAACAACAACAACAACAACAAAATTCTGAGAAGAACGACAAAGTTTTTTCTTTTAACTAAACATATTGACGACCAGTCCTGCCAGAATTGACGACCAGTCCTGCCAGAATTGACGACCAGTCCTGCCAGAATTGACGACCAGTCCTGCCAGAATTGATGACCAGTCCTGCCAGAATTGATGACCAGTCCTGCCAGAATTGATGACCAGTCTTGCCAGAATTGATGACCAGTCCTGCCAGAATTGATGACCAGTCCTGCCAGAAGCATATATCTGTCCTCAGTTCTTCTTCTTCCTTCTTCCCGAATCTTCCCCCCAGTATAATACGAAAGAAACACAAAACAATTTTCCTTCACCATTGGGCAAGGAAGTTTAGAACAAGACACTTTGATCTCCACAGAACCATTCTACCAACAATGCTATAGCCCCAACACACATCAAACTCATTCTACCAACATTGCTATAGCCACAACACACATCAAACTCATCCTACCAACATTGCTATAGCCACAACACACATAAAACTCATCCTACCAACATTGCTATAGCCACAACACACATCAAACTCATTCTACCAACATTGCTATAGCCCCAACACACATCAA